TTACTATTATTAGAATTAGAAAAACATATTCTACAATTTTTAATTAATATTTAAAAGCTGGTTACTTAAGAAAATATTTTTTATTTTTAATTAAATAAAAATTTACCAAAAGTTTTATATATAATTTAAAAATTGTATACTTTATCTTTAAATAGTCTGCTTGTAATTTTTATACTAACTATTATATTAGTAATTTGCTAAAAGATTATCTAATTAAATATTTTAATTTTTATACTAAATCTAATGAATAGAATACTGGTTCTTATATATTTAAATATTATCTAACTTAATATTTAACCTTCTTTTTTGTACAACTATTAAGTTATTATTTGTTTTAAAATATATTACTTAATTGTAAGACTTAAAATTCCTAACCTACTCATTCTATAGACTATTAACAAAACTATGTCTTTGCAGAGTTCACTCAAACTTTAATACTAACTTCACAGCATATTTCTATTATATTTAATATATTATTGCTTTGATTTTAGATTTTTAATTTAAATAATTTAATAGAAATGAACCTGTTCTTAGTATATCAAGTCTGACCTGATATTCTTTTTCTTTGATCTGAATTTTGATAACCTGGTTGGTGAACTTTAGTAATGTGCACTTAGAAAACAATAAAAAAAATGCATTTGTAATAGTATGGATAGATTTGGATTTGAATTTAAGCATGCATTTAGAGGTATATACTTGTATAGAATGCATTTAAAGGTTTCATTGTAATGTACATTTAGGAGATGTAACTGCACATTGTTCTTTTTTTTTTTTTTGCTAAAGTGCTTTTTTTTTAGAAACGTCATTTTGATTTTGAAAAATTTCGATCACTTTAAAATTACGTCAGAATTTTGTCTTAAACGAAAGTATCTTTTAGTAGATTTTGTGCACTGTGCGTCAAATGTGCGTCAGGAATGCATGTAAATGTAAATCTCTGATAACAATATAAAATTGGTTAGAACTTTTACAAATTTAGAAAATTTACTTTGTATTCGTAATGCATAAAATATTGATTATCGTTATGCACTATATAAATCCAGATAGTGATCCTGGCCGATCAGCTATGATTAAGTAAATAGCCTAGCCGACACAGGCAAAGGTCAGGGTAACTTGTACGTTTAAAGTACATTTTTGATAACGTAACGGTTTCACTAATCGTTATATCTTTATCGTTCACCATACAAAAGAACCCCCAAAAGATCAAACTTCCGAAGAACTATTTTAAAAGTCAAATATGCCTACCGTTTATTGGACCATAACAAATTATACAGTAGAATGGATCGTCCCAATGATAGTTGTCACATTGCTGTAACTTGCCGTAACTATAGCAAGTAAAATAGAAAGTTACTGTTGTAATGCCGTAACTTACTGTATTATTTTAGTTACGGCAATATGACGATTATCATTGGGACGATTCTACCGCATCACGGACGAAAGGAACATCCTTCTATAATACCCCTCACGATTTTCGGAGGCTTAGAATGTAAAGTGCCCCGAGTACTAATTGCACTTTGGAATGTAAAATACCTGGGTACTTAAAGAAGGTATAAAATATTATTGCAGCACTCATATAATACAACTTATATCCATATATACAGCTTAAATTGTAAAGTACCCTTGATATTTTAGTCCACGGTTAAAATTAAATGAATTTTTTATTTATTTGACCATAACAAGTATTAATGCCTGTGGGCACGTGATTGTAAACCAATCACGACACAGGATTAAAAATTGTCTATAACATAAATTTTAAACTGTAAAGATCTAACCTTAAATCCTAATCAAACCAAAAAAACTTGGAGGAATGCACCCCAAAAATTTTACCACGACGTTTAATTTCTATTAGACAAAATTTAATCTGATTCATTTTAATCTGCCATAATGAATACCACATTTATCCCACTTTACATGTATCTATTTATCCTCTATACGTATACATGTGATAAATTTAATTCTTTGTATATGTTATACAATAAATTGATTGTGTAATTTTAAAATTTGGCGCATTTTACTAAAAAAAAAGGTTGGTTGATGTTGGTTTATGCTGTCCCGCACTGTATAAAGTTTGATTTCGTATTAAAAAACGATAATTTAATTGGTAATCACAGTAAATCTATAAAAATTAAACAAACTTTCTACGTCGGAAAATCGATCAGCCGATTTTTTTTTTAACCAGCTAAGTTGATATCGAACAAGTTCACTATCACTAAATCTGACATAACCGCACACTTTCGACTCACTGAACGAGGCAAACGACTGCCGCTATTCTGGCAGGACATTTCACAATAAAACTTTTACCTGTTTAGTCATTCAAATTTTAGGATAAAGTGGATTACAGATTATCCGACAATTAACCCGATTATTCAGTATATTTTAATGGGTTTCCTATTTAACAAATTTACCGGATTATCCGATGGGTGAAACGGATCTGTTGTTGCCATTCTCCAATATGTTATCGGGAAAATAAGCAGCCAGAAAAATAAGCGACATTTCGGGAAACAGAGCCGGTGTTACTCCTCACTACTGATGACGATTTGATAAATTGTCACGTTACGTGTGTCTGCTCTGCCAGATAACGGTTCAATGACTTGTCGGTAAAAAATATGATACGAATCACCGTAATCCTGTAGTGATAGAAATCAGCAAGTTGTTGTAAAACTTCCGTGCAATAAAAACATTAAACCATTCTCCAGTTGGTTTATTAGAATATTTGGATATAAATAGTATTAAATACGCACAAAACTTTTATGTCAAATATTAAACGAATCTTGAATCAACAGTCATGTGTAATATGATGAGATTCATGTCACGATGGCATCAAAAATAATTCGTAAGAGTCTTTTTTGAAGGATGATCTGATGAACACGACAGACAAATTTAAACTCCAAATATTGAGGTACAATCCCTACTTCCTTTTTTAATAGTTTATTCGTGATAATTTCATGATCGCATAATATTGATAATGTTGGCACATAAGTTACTTACACATACATTAATTTTCTAGCCTTCACATGATAATGCATGCATTTATCTAAAAAAAAAACTTTCATGATTCGGTTGTGATAAAGAAGTTTTTTGAAGTTGGTCCAATTATTAAAAATTAAATGTTTGTTTTTAACTTTATAATTATTAAATAATTTTTGTAAAAAAAAAAAAGGCAGGATTTTTAGCCTATTTCTGCAACTCGTCTCATCTGTTTCATCTGTTACACAGTACTCACATTGTGTTCCGATACATCTGTATTAAAAAAGTTGTATAAATACTTATATTTGTAAAAGTATTTCATTTATGTTTAATCGAACACAAATCAATTTTACTTTCGGAAAGTTACCAATATGACAAAAATTTGGTCAACTTTTTCTCGTAATTTTGCAAAGTTACTTGAAGACTCTGAAGGTCATGACCTAATTATAAACGTTGGTCAAGAACCTATAATAAAGCCTTTTAAAGCACATTCTGTCATATTACGAGCACATTCTCCTTACTTTCGTAGAGCCTTATCAAAGGAATGGGCTAAAAAAGAAGACGGAAAAACTGTGTTTTACAAGCCTAATGTATCTCCTCCTATTTTTGAAATCATTCTCAAGTAATTGTCTTGATTACTTTTTTATTATTTACATAAATCGACTTAATATACATAATTTATTGTATTTTTTTTATTATTTTATTATTATTATGATTATTATTATTTATTATTAGATACATTTATTCTGGAACTATAGATATAGAAGATCAGGAGGGTGAATTTATTTTGAACCTCTTGACTGCTGCTGACGAATTAATTTTACCTGAATTCATTGACGAAGTACAAGAATACCTTGTTGCAAACCGTTCTATTTGGATGCAGGAAAACTTTTACCACGTTTTAGATTTCTCTTTCAGCCATGACACTTACAAATTATTACAAGACAATTGTCTAGAAACTATATGTGCTGATCCTCCTCTCTTGTTTGATTCTGATTATTTTTATTGTTTGGATAGTAGCATCCTAACTTCCCTTCTTCGTCGTGATGATCTTGCTATGGATGAAGTTGATCTTTGGAATAATGTTATTAAATGGGGTTTCGTGCAGAACCCTACTCTTTCAGATGACCCTACTACTTGGACTCCTGATTTTACCTCTACTTTTCAGAAATCTTTAGCTGATTGTATACCTCTTATTAGGTTCACTCTCATGACCCGGGAACAATTCCGTGAAAAAGTTTGGCCCTTTAAAGATATTCTTCCGCGTAAGATGTGCGACGATGTTTTATGGCATTTCTTAATGCCTGAAATACAACCTAGCCAATTTCATCCAAGATTAAAAACTATTGACTCTAAACTTATCACTTTGAAACATGCTTCTTTAATCGCAACTTGGATTGACCGTAAAGAAGGCAAGCCTTATAAACATACCGATATTCCATATGACTTCACTTTACTTATGCGTGGTTCACGTGATGGATATTCTCAACAGACTCTTCATCAACGTTGCGGCGGTCAAGCTAAAACCATAATGTTAATGAAAATAAAGTCTACTGAAGAAATATTTGGAATGTATATCTCTAATATTTGGAGTAATACTTCTAGTGCGAGATCTCATGATAGTTTTATGTTTTCTTTTGGTGAAGGAAGAGATACCAAAGATCCCGTGTTGAGTCGTGTACGTGCTGCGGGTTACGATCTCGCTTTAAGCAGAGGTCAAGAGAGAGGAATGGACGAATTGGAAATGTTCAAAATTTCCCCAAAAACGGTGTTCATGTTATGAAAAAAAAAAGGTTATGTCCTCAGTGATTTGGTGTGTGTTTATTGTATTTGCTTTTTTTTTATTTTTCCAATGTGTATAGAATTTCATTAATAGATTATATGGATGTTTCGTTTAAATATTTAGTAAATTCTTTATTTTATCACTTACAGTATAATCAAGTAACAATATTATAATATTGTAACATTACTACAAAAAAATTTTGTCAAATACATAGAAAATAACTTATTTATTCTTTAGATAAATAAAATAAATAAAATTCTTTTTTGTATTATAGTTATCCGGTCATTATGGCTAGGTTGGTGAACAGTAAGTATAAATCAACCTTTGTTTGAAAATTATGGTTTTTTTTGATCTTATTAATTTTTTTTTTCTTTTTTTTTTTTATCGTTGTTGTTTGTATGGATTTATAATATAAAGTTAGTTATTTCAAAAATAAAAAGTTTTTAAATTAAATCGTGGCAAAAATTATTTTATCATGCCAATAAATTTTAAAAATTAAAAATATACTATTATTAATTATAGGGTTTAAGTTTTCTATATATTTGCACTGTAGTGTATCCCTAATTTTAACTAATCTATATCTATTACTAATGCAAAAACATTGGAATTGTTGCATATTGCATATTCATGTAACATTCGTGCAGATATCTCGTTTGCCATATAGCCGTATAGCCGAGGGGTTAGTATGGGTCTACCATTTTCATATATAGCTTAACTGATAACAAGCCTTGCATATTCGCGTAAAGGAATTATCCAGGGTGATATCATGGCATAGCTTATGATACAGCAAGATAGATTAATGGAGAAACCAACCAAAATCCGAGGTCGGAATAGGCCGTATTGATAAATTTCACCCAAATTTTACTAACGTTAATAAAATGGTGGCCCACATAGTAAGTAAATTTGCCCAGGGTATTATTGCCTATCCGGTGCAGCACTAGGTATATATTGCATTATTGGATTACAGTCACTATTTAATAAAAAACACAAATACAATCATGCTAGCAAGTTACTAAATATAGCTGGAAGAGTGGCATCCAGTGATTATTTTTCATTGTGCGACTGTGCACACAATCAAAATTTTGCGCACACCTTTTGAACAGATGTGCACAGAAAGGTTTCCAAATTGTGACATTTGCACAGTAAATTTTAACTGAAAAATTAATACTGATGGCATCAATTAATTGATGAAACGCAATTAGAAAATGTGAACCAGGTTGGTGATGCATTCAAAATTATTAAAATTCATTGAAGTTAGGATTAAAGTTAGAATTAAGAGTAAAGTGAGGTAGTTATAATAGTAAAATTGTATAACAAAAATTTTTTGTTAAAGCACAAAAAGTAATGTTATAGGTAAACATCTTTTTAATTCTTATATTATAATGATGACACAGTACAGAGAATCTTTTATAGATATATATGATGTTTAAAAGAGTAGTTTTTATTAGATATTGTTAAGAAATTATATTCTTTTTTAAGATATTTTAGAAAAGATAATATAATGATAATAATTTTATTTCAATTACTAAGGAGGGATAAATTTTGTTTGTAGGAATTATTCTAGAAGAGAAGTATCAATATAGTTTATAGTCAAAAGTTATTTATTAATATAATTACAAAAAAGATTATTCTTAGATTTTTATTCTTAAAAAATCTTAAATATATGTTTATAATATTAAAAAAAAGAAAGATGTTTGTTACTTAATCAGACTTAGAAAATTTAATAAAATTTATATATTTGTGAGTTAAATCAAACAACTAAATAATTAAACAATTTAGTAATTAGTTTTTTTAATTATTAAATAATTACTAAGTAATTAAGTAATTAAATAATTAAATAATTAAATAATTATAGAGGTGTGACAACTTAATGAAGTGATCAGGTTGTCAATTTTCTAAGTAATAGGTTGGATGTTCAAATCTCATTGATAACAAAAATTTGAATAATTACTTATGTAATCTGGTATTATAACAACTGTTTCTAATAATAAGATTAAGATACTTGTAATTATAATTGCACTAGCATGACTGGCAGGTCATAGAACATCTGTGTAATTTGTTATACAGAAGAATACAAACTGGCATCAGGCAATGCAAACTTAAAATAAGTTCTTGTAGCTATATAAATCTGTAAAAATTAGAGAACAAGAAATCTATTTGAAAAGATCTGAGTAGAATGGTAATATAGATCTTTAATGGTACTATTATAAAGACTAAAACTAAGAAAAAGATATTAATATCAAAATAGTTAGACAAACAAAAACCTCTAGATTGAAAGTCTTAGAAGTATCACCAATCAGACTATCAGATCAAATTGAAGGAAAAGAATATTAGGCTGATTTGATATATTAATAGACTGATTATAGTCTTATATAGGCTATCTGGATTAAGAGTTTGATAAAAGAAGCAAGAATATACTAAAATACTAGGAATATGCTATAAAATAAATACTGAAGTCTGAATAAACTTTACAAGAACACAGCAGTTTAATGATTAGTCCTGACTGCAAGTATTTATTCTGCTATAATGATACCTAGATTAGCTATAAAAAATAAGTAAACAGTAGGCTCTGATAGGTTTATCTTAAGGATAAAAATGTTCTAAAATTGAAATAAAAGATCCAGGCTTGACTTGGTGAAGTAATATAGAACAGATTCAAAGATTTTAAAATAGAACACTCAAGCAGAATATTAGATATAATAATTGGTAAAGAACAATAGATAGACTCTTTAAATAAGTAATATAGAAAGTTATATGAATAGCCAATTGTACACTCTTTTTGTAATAGTTTCTTATAAAACTACATTTCTAAAAATATGTTAATAAAATTAAAAGATCAAAGAGGTCACTTTAATATTAAAAAAAAATAATTAAATAATTATTAAGTAACTAAGCAATTACTAAATAATTAATTATTAAGTAACTAAGCAATTAAGTAGTTAAGTAATTATTAATAACAATACAATAATAAGAATAACTAATACTAAATAATAATAATAATAATAATTATAGCCTTATCCTTAATATTTTAAAAAAAATAATAATAATAATAATTCATTTATAAAATAATAATAATAAAATAATAATTATATAGAGAACTAAGATAATAATAGTCAAATCCAATGTACAGAGCAGACTATGGCACTTTTCACAGCTGTGAAAACTAAGTTTAAAATAGCAAGTGACCTTACAGAAAATACACAATCCAAATCATTATTAACATCATTAAATTCCTATAATTTGGACATCTGCTATAACAAATTTCTCCAATATTATCATCTTTTTCTACTACACTTTCAACCTATTATTAAAACTTTTTTTAATATTTATAATAAATAAATTCTATATACTTACTAAATACTTCTATGATAACATTAAAAATAGACAAAACAGAAGCCTATATTTATCTATCATATAAGCTTACTATTCTACCAAACTATTATATTCCTTTTACTAATGATTTTCTTAATATACTTCTTAAATCTCAATCTAATTTCCAAATAGCTGATTCTATATTAAATTTAAATCACAAAACAAATACAAAACTCCTATATGTTTTAAAGTTATAAATACAAACAACGTACTTTCTCCTAAATATACAATCATACCTCAGGTCTCTAACTCAATAGATAAAGATTTACAATCCATTCCTTTTATTAAACCTCTCAAGCTATCAATTAGTACTCATGATGCTTAAGGCTACAATGAAGATCTTAAATAGCAAATGTGGAAGAACTTCTATCTAACAAACAATCTTAATATAGTTAGTATTACTAAAACTAAAATAGCTACAGTATCAGATAGCAAAAACCATACAATTTTCTATAGATCGCACCAAATTTGATCTGTAGTAGCACAACCTCTAATTGGCTAATTATTATAAACTGTGTCAAATTTGATCCATAGTAACACAACATCTGATTGGCTAATTATTATAGTAACACAATTTTAATTAATATGTAAGTGCACTTTATAAGTACATTCACTTTTCTGTGACTTCCTTATTAGATCTATCATAAATTTGTATTCTTTATAACTGTATGTCTTTTAATAACATGCATTTATAGAGTTAACTGTTTATGCTAATTAATTATACATAATCAATAATTATTCTAAAGTGAATCAAGAATTTCAACACAGTTATACCAGTTTAATTTTAAAATCACTTAATAAAATTTTTATTATTTTGTAATTACTAGCATATTATGATGAAATGTTTATACTAGATCGACTTGCTATTTTCATAAATTCTGAAAGATTGATATAAATTACAATTTAAGTTAGAAATATATATTTTTTTGCATAAACTAAATACACTAAACATGCTAGGTAAGTATTTAAATAAAAATTTATAAAACTATCTATAGAACAAGTATCATATATAATGCATGTCTTTTATATATAGGGTACATCAGTGTAATGCCAAGGTTTGCAATAAATGAGCTTATACAAATTAGCTTTGTGCATTGTATAAGTTATACAGAATAAATGTTTATTTAGAAGTTCAGTTTAATGATAGTTAAAAATTAGAAAAAGTATAATTATTTGGGTAATTATTAATCTATCTATTTGACTGTTTAATTTACTTACTATTTAATGAACTTATTCTTCTATTTTATTGATTAAGGACTATATCATATTATTAATCAAAATAATATAGTAATAATCTATTAACGAATTTTACAATAAATATTATTATAGATTCTTATATATATAATTATAAAGCAACAATTACATGTTAATGAAAATTTCTATGACACTAGTAGAGATATATATAAAGTAGAAATTTGTGTAATTTTGTTTCTGATATGTATTTTTGTTATATAAAAATGTTGGTCAGAATTTTTATAGAGCTGGCACACAAAGTCTAGTAATATTAGCAAAATTTTAATAATGCAAGTCAATATTCAAGTGCTACTGCATTAATATAAAAGTTACATATGTGCATATATACAGTTTGTAATTATTATACTGAATCAAAACTTATTAAATCAGCAAATCTTTATTCAGTTAATTTTTGCCAGATTTTTCAGAATTTATGAAACAGCTATAAAGAATAAAATTACTGAAACAAAGATCACATCTATTTCATTATTTTATTTAAAATGAATAGGTAATCAATTATTTATTAATTATATATATTAAAATTTTTTTAATTGAAAAAAATAAACCCCCATTAAAGAAGACAAAACAAATAAAATTTTTTTTTTTATCTTATTTTAAAAGCTCATTAACCTGATTCATAATATCTTCACTAATCATTCTATGTTTTTTATTCTTTTTAACAGCATATTTAGCTGCTTTTCCTGTCAATCCATGCTGATAAGCATCCATCCACCTATACAACAACCTGGCAAATAAATAAATTTGTTCTATCAAAATAGAATCAAAAGTCTGATTAATTGATTCTCTGGTACTTAGAAGTGAATATATGCAATTCAATCAAGTATACTTTTTGACCATCTTCTAATACATTTCGATGTGGTTAAGTTTAGGATGAAACTTCAAATAAAATATAATCTTATGCCTATGAGATTTGATTTCTTTCTGAATTTGGCTACACTCTTTAAGAAAGTTTGGTTGATTAGCTATTAACTAATATGCATAGCAATCAATAATGTTTGGATCTGTCTCTTTTTTTTTATATAATATACACTCAAGCACCATTTCATTTTGCCACAACCCTTTTTTATTTAGAACCCATTGAATTCTTTTAGGCTACCCATGCAAATTCACATAAGAATTTTTTTTTATTATAAATAAAGTGATCATTCTTAATAACTATTGATTGTCAACCATCATCCTATATCATTTCTCATATTTTTGAAGCCAAACCTCTCAGACCAAGGTTTATTTTCGAAGCCACAAGAGCATTTTCTGAAAAAGCTTTATGGGATGTGGCATTGTCAAAGACAAATATGCCTACACAACTCAGATATGTTTGCTTAAAAATTTTAATTGTCCATCTTACTTGTTTAAGCAGTTTTTTGGAATCCCAATAATTATTCTGATTAGAACCTAAAGTTTAAAAGTTTTTGGTAAAAAAAAAAAAAAATTTAAAAAAAATTAAAAAAAAAAATACAAGTTTAATTAAAAAATTTCAGACTATTATTGCACAAGCTTCTTCTTCATCATCTTTTAGTAGCTCTATAGTTTCTATTAAAAAGTCATTAATATGTACAGCAGAACTCAGCTCTTTTTTTCATAAGAGTTGTTCTTCCTCTGAGCCTTATATAAAATGTGGTCTGTTATAAATATAGAAAGTAGTTTTATCATAGGTTATTCATATATGCTCTTTTTCATTATTATTTAGATCTGGAAAGATCCTTATTTTGCAATTTGTGTTGATCTATTTGGATATAAATTGTTCAAGTTGGGCAACCTCTTAAAGAAATGTTTGATAATACTTAACAATATCAGAATACTCATGTCCATCTACATATACACCCTTTTAATAGCATTGATAATGAAAACCAAGTTTGTGCATCTACTAATATACTGTTCTTACTGAAATGTATTAGACAGATTCAATGTTTAATTGTGAAAAGATTTCTTGTTCAAAGTAATTTTAACTAATATAGGATCTATTTTAAATTTTTGGAAGCACAGATAAGAGGCCAATTAAATGGAAACTAACTCATCATAAAGCAAGTTATTAAAGGGAGATCTTCCTCAAAGATCTGGCTAAATTAACTTCTTTTTTATACAAATATTCACTTACTTTCTGATATTTTTCGCATGCTACAACCTATCATTAATAATGTATATAACTGTCTTTGATGTCTTCATTTTTTTTTGGCCTTGTAGAAGTAATCGAAGAAAATAAAGAACTGCTATATAATAGGCCTCTTCAGTTTTTATAAGTGCTTCTTTATTTATTATTTGGTTTACAAACTCAATTGCTCTAAAAATTTTTTTTTCATTTAATTCTTTACCTAACTTTTCATCTGACTCTTCATTTAATTCTTCATTATCACCTTATTAATTGATATCATTATCTAATTCTAAACTTTGTTTGCTTTTTGAAGCAGCTTTCTCATCTGATAATATTAGTCTTCTTGGTCTTGGAAATCATTAGAACTTATATTACTATTAGCTACTGGTAGTTGAGTATTAGAAAAAAAATCTATGATTTTTAGACTTCCTATTGCTGCCTCCCTAAATTCTTTATTTTTTCTTTGTTGTATACATTTAGAATTTCTGATATAGACAACAGAACATACTTTTTTTTCAAGACCTTTTGCTAAAAAAAGTTTAACTACTAAATTCACTTTGTTAGAATTATTCAGCTCAGTAAATTCATCATCTGAACTTTCTTCTAAATTATCACTTGAACTACTGAATTCTTTACTTGAACCAAGGTCAACAAGTAAATAATATATTTATAAAGAACAGACTAATTCTGCTTTTTTCATTTGTAAAATTTTAACATTTGTTTATTTTGACATGATGAAATAAGGTATGTGGCAATATAAAATTTATAGTTTTTTTTTTTTCAGAATTTTTATACAGTCTACATTGCAGCTTACATGATGCCAAAGTTATTATGCTGACAAAAAAAAACTGTATAATCTAAAAGAGTTATGATAGTAAACAATACAAATCCCAATTATTATGAATAAGATCTTTTTAAAAAGAAATTTGATGTGAAAAGAAATCTAACAATCCTCTTTTTATATATGATCAGTTTCCTTGTCCTTATTTAAAACAATGATTAATACTATTAAGCCTTAATAGTGTATACACCTTTGCCTTAGTGTAATAATATAACAATGGCACTAGTACAAATCATATTATAGATACTGCTATATGCATATATAAAAAGTATATATGTATATATATTTAAATTTTCTCTTTATCTGAATTCCTTTTAAAAAATCCAAAAACTAATTTTTATGAATTTGCCTTTTATATTGTGCTTTACTTATATAATTTGCATATTTAACTACATCATCCTGTTATTCTTATGTATATAATTGCTGAGTTATATATATATATACATATGTATTATGTTATTGTACATTCGAAAGCATTGAATCATGGAATTAGAGTTAAGTGTATTAATATTAAAGTGTTGAATTCTGATAATATCATTTATATGTATAGGCACTCTTCATAAGCTCTAGAGTTAGCATTGACATTACATAGTTTAAAAAATGTAAATTACTGTTACTGCTTAATTTTTAATAAAAAGTTCTGACTAATAAAATTGCAGTCATGTGATTAAGATCGATTTGATTGGTTAATTTCTCAGTGCCAAATTTTTACTTTATTATAAAAGTTACTAAACTTTGATTGCTTATAACTTTCTCAAAAAGTAAAATATTAAAAATTTGTCTTACAAATTTGTAGCTTAGATTATGACTAACAAATTTGTAAAACAGATTTTTGATATCTTATTTTTTGATAAAGTTATTAGATATAGAACATTTACAAAAAAATTAGATAGTTTTTGCTGTCTGGTACTGTAGCACAAATGTAATAACAAAGCTACAAAAATTCAAATATTTTACATATTACTGATTATGTAATAACAGCCCAAAAGCTGATACTGCAGTTATGATCAATAACTGGCTTAAACCACATGTTTACAAAATACACAACTTCCTGGTTATACTATTATTATCAATCTTTTTTTTAAATATAACTTCAAATTCTATATTATATCAGTATATTTGTCTTATAATAACATTCAACTTAGATTAACTGTTCAAAATATTATTATTTCATAGCTTTAATAAGCTACAAATTTAAACTTACAACCTATTATTCTGAGAGACTTCAATACTCTTGATAATAGCTTATATATTTTTTTTATCAAATATAAACTATTGTACTTTCTTTAATATATAACATATATGACCTAGCTGCTTATACTTAATTCTTAACCAATACTTGGCAAAGCAGTTGATTTTAAAATTGAATTGATTATATTTGGGCAAACTACTTAATTATTTACTATCTCATCTTATACAATACTGACGATTCTAAAACTAATACAAATAGCAATCATAAAATTTTAATTTTCTCTTAGTCTTTTCTTTATACTTATTCTGGCAAATGATGTTCTGTAACCAAGACTTGAAAAGAATATTTTTTTATAAAAAAATGAATTAAGAACTTTGGCAATTATATACTAATTAAGTGACTACAAATCTTAGTTCTAACTATACACCTACAATTGCTAATACAACAGAATCCTTAGAAACAACTAACACAAACTTCAGACCAGTTTTATCTCAGCTGCTCTTAAATATATTTCTAACAAAAAAGTCACAATGTACAATTTTTAACATATATACTCTGCCAAAGCTTCCTTTTTATATCATAGTCTTAAAAAATTAGAAAATATAATTCAACAAATTAAAGCCTTATTATAAAACCAAATACCTATACCTACACAACTTAATAATATAATTTAATAACTTAATAATACTAATAATCTCACTATTCCTTTCTTACCAACCAGACATAACCTACTAACTAACTGAATCTCAAATGCTAATAATAAGTAAAAAGCACTTTATTATGCATATAATATTGAAAATATTAAAATAATTAGATAACAGATTAATAAAAATATAGCCAAAAAATATAATAAACTGCAGTCTCAATCAAAATTAATAATTAACAGTATACTAAACTATCACAAAGATCCTGTAAAGTTTGACAATATCAGAACAGATTATGATATTGTTATAGAAGTACAGAAAATCAAAATACATATCTGACAACACTTCGATCAATGAACAGCATATAGGCAAATTAATCAACAAATTTACAACTTATCTTAGTATAATGAATATTACCTAAAACAAACATTCATTCAGAATAGTATCAAGAGGTATTAGCAGAATTCTCTTAAGAAGAAATTTCTAACACATTGCAAAACTTCTAAATAATAAAGTTTGTGATCCTTTAGGCATAAGTTATGAAATGCTTAAACATGCAAGTTTACTATTTCTCTAAGCTATAACTGTCCTATTTAATAAATGCATTTTAATTAACAATATACTCAAATAATAGAAAAAAAAAGAATCTTTTCTATTTCCAAAACATCTATCTTTAATAGAAGTTTAACTAATACTAGACCTATTAGGCTTTTAGAATATATTAAAAAAGTATACACCAAACTTTTTACCAATCACTTAAATACTACTTTTACTTCATATCCAATACTATCTCTCTATAATTATATTACTCTTTCTGGTAACAGTACAGCAATACTAATTTATATATTTAACAATATAATTGAAGAAGTCTCTTGTAACTCCAAAGAACTTTGGCTCATATCTTAGAATATGAGCAAAGCCTATGATTTAGTAAATTCTGACCTTTTTCATAAGTCTTTAATATGGATCAACATGGCATCTAAATTAGTAGAAGTTCTTACTAATCTGCTTGATGACTATCACAATCAAGTTATAACTAATCTTGGACTTACAAACTTATACTCTGTCAAAAATGAAATTAATCAAGAAGAAACAATTATATCATTATTTTGGTATATTTATTATAACTTTTTTATCTACAGAATTGCATCTCAATTTACAGGTTATACTCTTTCAATATCATGAAAAACCAGCCTATAACCTTTTTAATACTAATATCTTTAAGTTTTTATCTTAGTCCTTACTTATATAGATGACACATTATAAATTGCTTAATTCAAAAATGAGTTAGAACAAATTACTCAAATAGCAGTATTTTTTTACCAAATAGCCAACTTTCAGATTAATTCTATCAAGTCAATATTTGTCACAAATGTCAAACCTATCTCTATTAACTTTCTTAACTTTACTTTCAACTTTATTTCTAACAACCAACCTTTTAAGTACTTATATCAGAAAATTTTTTAAATAGATACTAATCGATATATATCAAATAATTAATATTAATTAATTAGAATATAATAATATATCAGTAGAGTAGTTATATATTGATATATATTAAAATTGATGCATATTGATAAACTAATATATATCAAAATTTGAATATAAATCAATTATTATTGAATCTATTTAAATTGATAATAATTAATTTATTGTTATCAGATGGGATTTGAACCTTAGACCTGCCACTTGGAGAATAACAACCCAACCACTATACTAGGAACACTATTCTCTTTTAATAAAATATTTTATAAATAAACTATATTCCATATTATTAATAATTTATTGTATTATTTAAAAAAGAATAAATAAAAAAAAATCACAAACTCTTTCTGCTGATCTTCATAACCAAAATCGTAACAGAAAGAAAATTATAAAAAACACAAAAGCCAGCAAGTAAAATCACTGTTGTCAACTAAGCAAAGTTAAAGCTAAGAAGAAATTAGATAGAGTTTATTAGAATAGTAAACCAGGCTGACAACAATATAGTAGCTAGTCTTGACT